TCTCTCTCTCTCTCTCTCTCTGCCTCTCCTCTCTGTGTAACTCTTTCAAATAAATAAATAAATCTTAAAAAAAAGAAACTTAAACATGCACAAAATTGGTTACATAACCAAAATGAAAGATTAATTTCCAATGACTTTGGAACACAGGACTGTCCTTTCTCAGTGGAATATGTTGTATGAACAAAACAAATGTCCAGTCACCCTTGACTTCCTTCTGTAATTTTACCACCTTATCTAAGTCCTCATATAAAGCGTGTAGTATTTGCTTGGCACCTCTGCAATCCTCCAGAATACTTTAAATCATCTCTAGTTTACTTATAATGCCAAGTTATAACATAAGTGCTCTGTCAGTGGGTGTTATGCTGTGGGGAGCAACTCGGACTAGACTAAGTTACTAGAATTAAGACCTATTCTATGCATCTGCTCTCCCACAATATGGCGCTGGGAGAGGAGGAAACAGCTTCTACGCAGCTGCCTCTCCCCAGCTTGACAAGCTACAGGAACTGCTCCTGACTGGAGGAGAGCAGTGTGCTCGGCATGTGGGTAGCAGAGTTGGGATTGGTGGAAGAGGCCTATAAAGGAGGAGAGAGACAACATGCACCAGGAACATCTATCTGAAGGAACACCTGAGCAGCCCCCCCGAGAGAGCCGGCCGGCGGTGTGCCGCTCCCCCGCGGAAGTGGGGAAAGTGGCAGGGGGAACCGCCCTTCCACAGAGGTGGAAGGACGGCAGCCAACCCGGGAAGGACCAGCAGCAAACCCGGGAAGGGCCGAGCAGACCAAAGAACAGCGCAGGTCCTGTGTCGTTCCTCCGCGAAGAGGGGGAGCGACATTATGCTGTGTTTTGCTTAGGCATTGATGACAAGGAAAAAGTGCACACCTTCAGTACAGAAGCAAATTTTTGAGCATTTTCGATCTGTGATTGGTTGAATTCATGAATGTGAATACAGAGGGATGACTGTGCAACTATTTTGTGTATTTTACAGAAAAAGCAGATAGGCTCAGAGTAAGAATCACCCTAAATTACTACAGTCCACTGCTTCAGGACACAAGGAAAAGAGAAATATTAGCTTCAAAGCACAGTAATCTTTATATTTGGAATAGCCCTTGCTTGGCTAGCTACCAAGCTTATAACCAGCAGCAGGGTAATTTCTTTGCGGCTGAGTCCAGCAAAGTAGGAGTACAAGTCAGGAGTTCTCCTCCGTAAGATAAAGTATGGGGGGCTCCCTCTCTCTGAACAATGCTGAGCGGGGTGGGGGGTCGTACAGCCCTTTGAGCTGAAGGGCTGACAGAGGGCCACAGTATCATTTAGATTTTGATGGGGATACTGGTGATAGACCGGGGGTGGGGGTGGGGGGGAAGTAGGTGGGCAGGTGGCAGTTTTCATTCTGATTTTGTTGTTTTAAAGAGAGGGGCAGGAGAGCAACTGAGAGATCATCCATTTGCTGGCTCACTCCCCTAAATAGCTGCAACGGCCTGCCTAGGTAGAAGCCCGGAGCCAGGAACACCATCCAGGTCTTCCACGTGGGTACGGGGGCCAAGCACCTGGGCCATCTTCTGCTGCCTCACAGGCACATTAGCAGGGAGCTGGACTGGAAGCAGAGCAGCCAAGACGAAAACCAGGCTCAGATATAGGATGCCTACATTCCAGGCAGTGGTTTCAAGAGTGTCCAAAGTGAATATTACTAAAAGGGCCACTTGATTCTGTGAATACAAGCCACAGATCACTGAAACAGATGACTGACACCAAAGGAGTTAAAATGCTCTGGGAAATGAGGCAGAGTTGGAGATGTGCACGCACATTGTTTAGGGAGGTGTTTCTTCTTGAGACTTCACTCACTCATCTGTTCAACAAATGTTCACTGAGTGTCTACCATGTGCCAGGCACTGAGGCCACTACTACAGATACAGTGTGTGCATAATAAACACACACACACACCCCTAGGATCCAACTCCCCAGCTGAGTTTCAAAACCACAAGACAATAAGTAAAACTCTGAAAATGCAGTCTAAGAAACATGGATAGTGGATGTGGAGAAGAATGAAGCAAAGGAAAGGGATGAGAGAGTCGCAGAACGATTGGAATCCTTGTGTGGCCTCAGTTTAACTGTGGACATGTGGATGGCCACAGAAGATCGAGCTAGACTTGCCCAGGGCTCAGCTTCTGCACAACTCTGAAGACATAGGTTACATCTTGAGGGTCTGAGTCACGAGGTCACCACAAGTACTAGTGCAGTCCTACTCGTGTCCTGGAATAGAAACACAGTGCAGCCTTGTAGTGGTTGCTAAACCGCAGCCCACACCATCTTTCTAGTCTTGGGATATATACCTCAGAGCGAAAGGGGTGTGGTAGAAACCACTTTCTGTGCCATTTTTAGGGTCTTTGAGAAAGAGGGCAAGAGTGTAACTACACACATTAGCGACAGTGACATTCCTGAAAACAGCTTGAGGTCACAAAGCAAGCAGCTGGAAGGCCAGCTCAGGCCTCAAGTGAGGAATGGGCCGTGAGTGGCTACAGACTTGTGAGGTGTGAGCTGTTGGACCACTCTCAGTTAGAGGCGCCTAGGGGCCTAGGCCTTTGCAAGCCATTGTACCCATTTCTCTGGGCTGGTTAAGGAGAGATGAGACCTCGAGTCTCTGAAGGACAAGACCACAGTGCAGGTTTTCTCAACCTCTCGGCATTTTCCACCCTCTGAGAAGACCGCTGTAATTGACTGTGGGGGTTGCCAGAGTGGAGAAGATCAGGGGAATAAGCGGCAGATGTAAAGGAGTCAAAGGACAGGGAGTTTCTTCTTACAGCAGAGATGAATTATACACCCCAGAAGTGAAGGGAGTGGGGAAGTGAAAAATTAGAGCCAGGCTTGAGAGAAAGTTGAGGGGGAAAGCAGAGAGACCAGCAGCACAGCTAAGCCATCATGCATGAACTAAGCGGAGGAGGTCAGGATTCCTGCTCTGTGCTGACAAGGTAAGCCCCTTGAGTCTTCCCAGAGACTGCAATGAAAATTTAAATTGCTTTCTCCTTCTTTCTGGCTATTGGATGTCGTCTGTTTGAATGTGGTATCATGCTGAGATGGGCATCATAAAAGTTATTTAGGGTATTGTCTGGGCACCTGGACCTGCAGAGCAGCACTCAGCCTCAGCTTTATTTAGATCACTGAGATCTGTCAGGTGAGCACCTTCATTGGATTTATGGTTCAGAAGACACGACAGCTATCTAACATAAAGCCAGACACCAGAAACTACTGAGAATCACTCAGGAAGCGGGTATGCCTCATGGGACTTGTATCCGCGCAGCATGGGGTCTCTGCGCCCACGGACTGATGAGACTGGAATGAAGGAACAGAAAGCTAAGGTGGTTCCCAGAGGATGAGAGAAAGGCAGGAGGCAGAGGGCAGGCGTTATTTTCTCCTGCCATCTGGCAGTTCCTATGAATACTCTAGGAAGTTGCCTGGGGCACCCATCAGCCCCCACCTTCTGCTTGGGGGTGGTTCCATGCACTATACTCCAGGGCACTGGGGTGCACAGGGCCCAGCTGGGGAACCCAGGCAGCTCAGAGGCTACCCGTGGATCTCCGGAGTCCAGCTCCTTCTCCCATTTTCTCCTTGTCTCAGTTTCACACAGAATTCCTGAAAAGATCTGGTTCTGAATCCAATGCACCAGCTGGCCCACTCCCTGCGCTCCCACCTACCCTTAGCTCACAAGCGGCTGACCTGGAGCTTGCTGAGGTCAGCCACCCCGCCTTGACCTGCGCACCTGTTCCCAGGGGGCTTTTGTGCATCCCCAATAATTTCGCCTCTGGGACCTCACGGTCACTGCCTCGGGCAGCGTGGTGTAATCTGATCCAAAGCCTTTACAAACTTGGTGTGCTCACTAACAGCAGCAGAGGGCTGGCATAACCCAGCTGCCACCCACGGGGTAACGTGAGGGATTGTCAAGATGGGAGCAAGGCAGGGCGAGCGAACCAGCGAGATGAAACCGTGCGACGCTGAGAAGGCAGGGGCTCAGCCCCGCGAGCTTCAGGGTCCCTCCGGCTACTCAGCACTCTCCTGGGGAGGATGAGTGCGAGGTGAACCCACAGCCTCTGAGAACATGATAAGCGACTGGTGCAGCGCCAGCGCAGCTGTTTTTAATGGGTCCTGCCCGCTCCTGGCTATCAGAAAGCCGTTCTGTGCACACCAGGCAGACTCGGCTCTGCTTAGCGCAGCGTTTCTGCGCTGTCCGACGCTTTAGGAATCACCTACAAAGTTCTTACCCACGCGGAGGGCACAGGAGGTGAGAACTGCAAGCAGTAAGGAAGGAATGGACAGCGGATAGGACTGAACGGGCAGTCCGGGAAGACGCGCTGGTAGGAGGTTTTTCACGTTCAGTGTATTCGAATGGCTGCACAAGACTATGAGCGACGCCTTCGACTGATGGACATCTGCGATATTCCCAACCGCTCGGGCACCAATCGCTGGAGCACCGGCCTGGGCGGCCTCGGGCTGCGCGGCTGGAGCAGCAGGACTCCGCGCCCGGCTCCCGTCCAGGAATTCGGCCGCTCGCCCGAACTCCAGTGCTGGCTGCGGACCCCTCGCGGCCTCCTCCCCGCCCTCGCCCTCAGCCAGGCAAGGTTCCGGAGCGGCCGCCGCAGAACACGAGCGGCGCGGGCCTCGGCACACGCGGCGTGAAAAAAGACCGAGTAGAGGCCTCTTGAAACGGGCTCCCCGGGAACGCCGCAGTCGCCGGCCGCACTCCGCGCCCGCTCACGGCCGTGCCGAGCGCCACACGAGAGCGGGCGACACGCAACACGCCGCCCTCGCGAGGCCCGCCGCGCGGCACCCGCTCCCGCACACCCGGCGGCCCCGCCTCGCCCACTGCGGCGCCCCGCCCCTCTCCCCGGCCGCCGCACGTCCTGGTTGCCACGGAGACACGTCACGTACGTGCCGTGCGTCGCCTTGGAAACGGCAGCTCGGCGCGCGGCCGGAGCCGCGCCCCCGCCGCCCGGGCCGCACTCGCGGGCGCCGCCCGTGCCTGGAAAGGGGTCGGGAGCCCCGCGCGGCGGCCTCGGCCTGGACGGGACCTGCGGGCGCGCGCTGCGCGGGGCGCGCTGACTCGGGCGCGGTCCGGAGGCGAGGCGTGCAGGGCGCGCGCGGGAGGCGCCGGCCCCGGTACCCCCGTAGCCGCCGCCCGGCGAGTCCGAGCTGGACGCGCCCCCGACCCCATGGAGGACGGCCCGCTGGAGCTCATGACCAAGGACGGCGGCGACGTGCCGGCGCCCCTGGAGGTGTCCAGCGTGCCGGCCGTGGGCGACGTGCTCTCGGGCGAGTACAACGGCGGCATGAAGGAGCTGATGGAGCACCTGAAGGCGCAGCTGCAGGCCCTGTTCGAGGACGTGCGGGCCATGCGGGGCGCCCTGGACGAGCAGGCCTCGCACATCCAGGTGCTGTCGGACGACGTGTGCGCCAACCAGCGGGCCATCGTGTCCATGTGCCGGATCATGACCACGGCGCCCCGCCAGGGCGGCCAGGGGCGCTGCGCGGGCACCCCCCGGGAGCCCGAGTGCCCTGCGCCGGGGGCGGTCGCCAGCGAGGACCCGGAGGACGGGAACGCCGAGGAGGAGAAGGAGCGGCCGTGCCCCGCCGCTCCCGCCGGCCGCCGCGAGCGCCCCGAAAGCCCCCGCGCAGGCAGCACGGCCGCGCCGCCGCTGGAGCCCCGAGACCCGCCCGACGCCGCCCTGCTGCGGCTGAGGGGCGAGGCCGCGCTGTGAGGCCCCGCGGGCGCCCCCCGGCCGCTGCGGGTCGGACGCCGCCCTCCGACGGCTGCTCGCGGTCCTGGCCGAGGGGCGCCCTCGAGGCGGGGTCTGTTGGGCGCAGGCCCGTGGGAGCTGGGGCCGCTCCCGCCGCCGGCCGCGGAGCCCTTGCGGGCTGCGCAAAGGTGAGCTTGCGGGAGAGGACGCGCCGGCCCCTGCCCTGCCCGTCCCTCCCCAGGTGGCGAGCGGACCGCTGGCCTGTGTAAATAGCACCCTGCCTTTTCTATTCACGACAAGGACTTCTCTAGGACGGTGGCAAACAATCTCAAACGATTTGCCTAGAAATTAAGGAATCGGGGGTGGGGGGGATTCTCTTCTGCCCCTCTGTTGAGTCCAAGACACTCGGTGCTCCGCAGAAACCGCCGCCCCCACCCCGCCGCAAGTCTGCGCTGCCGTTGGTAAAGGGAGCCCAGGACCCGGGTGAATGGGGTTCCCGGGGCGGGCGGGGAGGCGCTGGCTGCGAATGTGCATGAAGACACGGGAATAGCGCAAGCTCTGGATTGTGCATGCAGCGCGGATCCCGCCCGGTCGCTGACTTCGCCTGGGACTGCTTCTCCTCTCGCTGGGGTTAGAGAACAAAGAGCCCAGCTCGCAGCAGCCCAGATGCAGGGGACGTCTGAGGGACTCTTGGGGTCTGCAGTCAGAAACTGTCTCTCCTAGCCACACCTGCTTAGCTGCAGTTCCTCCGTCACGTGTGTCCCTGCCCGCTGCCTCCCGGTGTCGATGTCGCCTCCATCGTGTCTGTCCACCGTGTAGTAGTGTGTGAGCCCTGAGGGGCAGGGCTTGTGGCTCTGGTGTTAGGTCCTGGGGGCTTCAGATCCTTCTGTGAGCCTCCCCCCACCCCACCCCAGGGCATGGAGCATGTGGCTGTCCTGAGGTCCCTTAACTGATGTGCTGCCCTTGCACCTCCCGAGTGATGACCCCGTGCCCTTCCCCGCCTTTGTGTACCCTTCCTCAGTGCTCTCCTCCACGGTAACCTCAATAAAAGGCGTCGTCTCCCCTCCTTGCTGACTGATACTAAGGGACTTTGTGTGTGTGCGTGTGGCTGGGGGCCGGGAGGGGGGCGTCCTGCCTCTGTCCTTGCTTCCAGTCCAAGGAGTTGGCTGTCCTTGCCCTGGCTGGGACAGGCATTGCCAGCTCCGCCTGCTTTCCCTTCTGTCCTGGACCGTGACCTCGGGCTGGGCTGGGTGTGTTGTGACTACGGCATTCACCAGGGTCTGCAGTTGCCCCCTTTTCGGGGCAGCCTCTTGCCCTGGGAGATGATCTTCACGCCTGGGTGCTGGACACCTGTTCGGAGGAAGGAGGGCGGGGTGGGAGGGATTGTTCTGGGGGGATTGCCTGGGATCTCTGGGGGTGGAGTGACACATCACAAAGGAAACACAGTAACTGCTCAGGCCTCTAGTGGAGGATGCCGGTAAGGTGTTCCCCGGAGAGCTGGCAGCTCTGCTGACATCAGCTCAGGCTGCACCCTCGGGCCATGCAGGTTTCCCAGGACTGCCCCAGAGCAAAATTTGAGAGCTAACGAGCTGGGGTACCTTGCGTGTGCCAAGCTGTGTGTGTGTGCACACATGCATGTATGTTCTTGCTGCTGGTTGCTGCAGAGAGGTGGAAAGAGCCCTGAAGGCACACATCTAGGCCTGAATCTGTTCCTACACACAATCATCCCCTTAATTTCTGCATGTATGAGGATAAAATTTGTTGGGGAGAAAAAATGTGCAAATTTCCTTATTCTCTGGAATGGGGTGGTGGTATGATTAGCTCCCCCTGAGAAAGTAAGACTACTCAGAGAAGGTTCTAGAAACTATTTTATATCTTTGCCTATGTCAAGAACCCTTACCCTTCAGGAAAAGGATAGTGACAGTCCCAAGCTAGCACAGGCCTTTTCATGAGCTGTGACCTGGACGTTCTTGATGGAGGGAATGTCACTGGGCGGGGGGGTAGAGGGGGCAGCTAAGCATGGAAGCAGGCCGTTGCCTGGGGACTGGGACGCAGGTTCCTGGTACAGCCGCAGCACTCAGCACTGGGAGCAGCAATGATAGCTGTCACTTAGCAAGCACTTACTGTGCATCAGACGCTGCACAGCTGTAGCTCTTGTTAACCCAGGAGGCAGGTACTATTATTTTTACAGAGGAGTTCAGAAACAGACTCCAAAACTCACTCAAGGTCACAGACTGGAACTGGGCAAAGCCAGCACTAAAACCTGGGTCTGCCTGACCAGTCTGCCAGTTGCTCTCTAAAATCTTCAGAGAAGGACTTCCCTGTTTTCCCAGTGAAGATCCTAGAGCAGGCCTGGAAAGGACTTAGTTTTAGCTAATTTTCATCTTTTGCAGTTGGGACAAGAAATCGCAGTTTGAATTTTGGTTAGTGACCTCTGAGCCCCACCAAGATGGCTTTCTGGACCTGCTGTTTGGGAGGAAGAAGCCAGCGCTCCCACGTATTTCCTGGCACGGCCCTGTCCTTGTGCTCCATGCCCATGCCGTGTGGCTCAGCTTCTCCAGAGTCTGACAGGAATCTCAAGGGCAGCTGAGCTCACCCGCGGCTGCATAGCTGGTCCGGTACTTTCACCCTGACTCCATTTCAGTCCCCTTTTATGCCCACTGCCCTGTGTGCTCATCCTTTCTCTAGCTGTTTCCCCGCAGTGCAGAGATCTTCCCAGGAGAAGCAGTTCTTCACCCTCTTCAGTCCCGGGCTGCACCAGCATCTCGGAGGGACGCAGTGCAGGGTGCTCTGTCCTGCCCACCCCTCTCGCCCCAATGAGTGTCAGCTGGGATTCCCTCCAGGCTCTTATTGGTAGGGGCACCGTGGAACTTAAGGGACTCATGACTCCCTGGGTGTGAGTGCAGAACTGTGCAGTTATGTACTTTCCCTAGTGAGAAGGTCCACATTTAAACATAATCCTTTAAAACTGAGAAATAAAAAAAAGTGCCGAGTTAAAGGGCAGTGAGACTTCAATTTTTTTTTTACAGGCAAAGTGGACAGTGAGAGAGAGAAAGGTCTTCCTTTTCCGTTGATTCACCCCCCAATAGCCTCTGTGGCCAGCGCACCACGCTGATCCGAAGCCAGGAGCCAGGTACTTCTCCTGATCTCCCATGCGGGTGCAGGGCCCAAGGACCTGGGCCATCCTCCACTGCACTCCCGGGCCACAGCAGAGAGCTGGACTGGAAGAGGAGCAACCGGGACAGATTCTGGCACCCCGACCGGGACTAGAACCCAGAGTGCCGGCGCCGCAGGCAGAGGATTAGCGTATTGAGCCGTGGCACTGGCCAAGACTTTAATTTTAAAAATACCGTAGACAAAGAGAGCCTGCCTGAACCTGGTGCTCCTGGCACTCTGGCTTCCTGGGCCTTCAGAATATTTCTCAAAATGAATTGAAGCCTCACATCAAACTCACTATTTACCACCTGTTCAGCAAATTCAAACTGTGTTGATACCCATTGTATGCTAAAAATTGCCCCCTACTAGTGCCAAATCTTCGAGTACTTGGGCTTTTCCAAGCACTGCTGATTTCAAGGGGTGAGGTAATGACCCCTCTATGGCTTCACATCCAACAAGCTGCTTCCTTCCCTGTCTGCCTGTCCCTCACTGGGCTGTCTTGAGGGGTCTTTTTCTTTCTTTTTTTCTTTTTTTTTTTTTTTTTTGAAAGACAGAGTTAGCAATCTTCCATCTTCTGATTCACTCCCCAAGTGCCCACAACTGCCAGGGCTGGGCCAGGCTGGAGCCAGGAACCAGGAATTCCAGGTCTCCCACGTGGGTGCAGGGGCCCAAGCACTTGGACCAGCTTCCACTGCTTCCCAGGTGCATTTGCAGAGAGCTGGATAGGAGCTGGAGCAGCCAGGACTCGAACCAGCACCCACATGGGATGCTGGCTGCTGCAGGTGACAGCTGAACCCACTTGGCCACAGTGTCCACTCCGAAGAGTCCTTCTTAATCTCAAAATGGAAATGCATGTGTGCTGCAACCACCACTTGGTACACCTAAACTGCTCCTGGAGAAACTGCAGTTTCCCAGGTGTGCTCCCTGACCTCGATGTCAGTGTGTGGTTTCACATGATTTCAGCAGTGCTGCAGATTACCATCTTGACTGGGATAATAAAGTGGCTCACCTAGACGCTTTTCCAAAGCTAAGGAACAGTTCTTCCCCAAATATATTTCAGTTAATTTCATCTATGAATAGGAAAGATAGATTTTCTTCCCACATCTGCGTGCCGAGACACAGACACTTAGCCAGCACACCCTGCTGCGGTGAAGTGCGGTGTGGAAGTGCCGGCAGAGTGTTCCTGAATCTCTGACTCCAGATGCCACGTGCCCCTGCCACTTGCAGATTGTCCCCACAAGGTGAATTCCCCCAGAAAAATGGCTTTTCTGCTTAGGAGCCTTATGCTTACCCGAGGAGCCCTGCTGTCAGTCGTGCTGTAATGGCGCCACCTATCGACCAATAACCGCATTACATGGGAGCTTGTGCCAGCGCCACCAAGTGCCAGCTGGAGGCCCGGCCCGCTGCCAAGTGGGTGGAGTTAAAAGTCAAGTGCGATAAACTCCTGACTGGTCACCCCCGGCCACTCCAAAGGTAGATCTTCCCAAGCCAGAGCTCTGAGCATCCCTCTCCTCAGAGATCCATGGCTACCTCTGGGTAACCCTGGGGGCATGGGACAGGGTCAAGGGCCTGCCCAGGAGGGCCCTGGCAGACTGGCCCCATATTCCGTTTCCAAGCTACATTTTCTTTTCTGCTAATTTTTTAAAAAAAGATTCAAGGGGGAGGGATAGCGAGAGAGAAGACAGGAGGGGAGGCAAGAGGAAGGAGAAGAGAGGAGATGGCGGAGGAGGAGTGGGGTGGGAGGGGAGGAATCATCGACTCCCCAAATGTCTGCTACCACCAGGACTGGGCTGGGGAGCCAGGAGAGCCAGGAACAGGGTCCCAAGTACTCGAGTCATCCTCCGCTGCTTTCCCAGGTGCATCAGAGGGCGCTGGATTAGCAGTGAGCACCGGGGTGGAATCAATGCGCTGATATGGGGTGCTGGCATTGCAGGCGGCAGGTTAACTTGAGTGCCACAGTGGCACCCTCCCAGCTACATTTTCTAGACACCATCTCCCCATCACCGAGATCAAGGCTGGAAATTGTTCCTAAGGGTGTCCTGGCTTCTTCAGTCCCTGAATGAGTGAACAGTCACCCCGGCCGTCGAGTGCCTTCTCTGAGTTGTGCGTCTTATGTGCAAGCTGCGCTCCAGAGAGGAGACTTGTGCAGTCTGGGCCACCCGCACCAAAGCCACCTCCCCTTCACCTCCGCTGGCCCCCTTTCCTCTCTTATGCCACCTGTAAATGAAAAAATCCTCAGATATTGTATGCAAAGATTTTTGATTATGAATATGTGTTTTTAGTTCTAGAGAAAGGGTTCATAATTGTCAAATTCATAAAGGTGTCAGTGCAGCCAAAAGGGAAACAGAGTGGAAATACGTCCTTGGCTGGGAATATACAAGGAACTTCTGTGAAAGACAGCAATTGGAACAGGTAATCTACTGGAGGAAAAAGCTAATAGGAAGGCTCCTATTAGGAGAAGAGGCGGGAAGACAAGAACCATCCCCTTAAAAACCCCAGCCTAAATGTAAACTGCGCACTCTCCCAGTTCCTGTCTCAAGAGGTACCCATCCGTTCTTAGGGATTTCCCTACCCTAATGAACCTTGCTATTTTGCTTTCCACTACTCTGTCTCACGCCTGAATTCTTTCTTGCGCGAACACAAGGACCCTTTGCTTCTCTGGTAACAGATTCATGCTAAACCAGCAAGGATTTCAGGTAAGAACAGGCACACGCTGCTACCGGCCTCAGCCCCGCCCGGGGAGGTTTCCTGGAGGGGAGTCGGCGAAAAGGGGACGTGCAGGGCATTGTGCTTGCTCCGAGGCCCGTGTGGGGCCAGAGTCACCCAACTGGCTAAGCGGGGCATCGCCTAGAAGCAACGCCAATGGGGCCGCAGACGATCCAGGCGGCACCGGCCTTCAGCCCCGGGCAG